CTTCTATTCAACATAGTGTTGGAAGTCCTAGCCACAGCAATCAGACAAGAAAAAGGGATCCAAGTTGGAAGAGAAGAGGTAAAATTGTCACTATATGTGGATGATGTGATACTATATATAGGAAACCCTAAAGGCTTCACACAGAAACTACTAGAGCTGATAATTTGGCAAGGTAGCAGGATACAAGATTAACATATAGAAATCAGTTGCATTTCTTTACACTAACAATGAAGTATCAGAAAAGGAAAGTAAAGAAACAATCTCTTTTAAAATTGTATCCAAAAAAATAAAAATGCTCAAAAATAAATCTGACCAAGGAGATGAAAGACTTATACACAGAGAACTACAAAACACTGATTAAGGAAATTGAAGATGACTTAAAGAAATGGAAAGATATCCCGTGTTCTTGGATTGGAAGAATTATTATTTTTAAAATGGCCATACTGCCTAAAGCAATCTACAGATTTAATGCAATCTCTGTCAAATTACCCAGGACATTTTTTGCAGAACTAGAACAAATAATCCTAAGGTTTATATGGAATCACAAAAGATCCAGAATTGCCAAAGCAATACTGAAGAAAAAGAATGAAGATGGAAGTATTACCCTCCCAGACTTCAGACTATACTACAGAGCTGCAGTAATCAAAACAGCATGATTTTGGCACAAAAACATGCCAAAAACATATGGATCAGTGGAACAGAATATAGAGCCCAGAAATAAACCCGCAGATTTACAGTCAATTAATCTTTGACAAAGGAAGCAAGAATATACAATGGAGAAAAGACAGTCTCTTCAACCAGTGGTCTTGGGAAAACTGGACAGCCACATGTAAATCAATGAAATTAGAACACCATACACAAAAATAAACTCAAAATGGCTTAAAGACTTAAACATAAAACAAGATACTATAAACCTCTTAGAAGAAAACACAGGCAAAACATTTTCTGACATAAGTCTCAGCAGTGTTCTCCTAGGGCAATCTACCCAAGCAATAGAAATAAAAGCAAAAATAAATAAGTGGGGCCTAATTACCTTTATAAGTTTTTGTACAGCAAAGGAAACCATAAGCAGAACAAAAAGACAACCTATGGAATGGGAGAAAATATTTGCAAATGATGTGACTGACAAGGGCTTAATTTCCAGAATATATAAACAGCTCATACAACTTAATAATAAAAAAAGCAAACAACCCAATCAAAAAATGGGCAGAAAACCTAAATAAGCAATTATCCAGTAAAGACATGCAAATGGCCAATAGGTACATAAAAAATGCTCAATACTGCTAATTATCAGAGAAATGCAAATCAAAACTACAGTAAGGTATCACCTTATGCTGATCAGAATGGCCATCATTCAAAAGTCCACGAACAATAAATGCTGGACAGGGTGTGGAGAAAAGGGAACCCTCCTACATTGCTGATGGGAATATAGTTTGGTGCAGCCATTATGGAAAACAGTATGAAGATTCCTCAAAAAACTAAAAACAGACTTACGTTATGATCCAGCAATCCCACTCCTGGGCATATATCTGGAGGGAACTCTAATTCAAAAAGATACACCCCAGTGTTCATAGCAGCAGTATCTGTAATAGCCAAGACATGGAAGTAACCTGAATATTCATTGACAGATGACTGGATAAGGAAGTTGTGGTATATTTATATGATGGAATACTACACAGCCAGAAAAAGAATAAAATAATGCCATTTGCAGCGACCTGGATGGACCTGGAGATCATCATTCTAAGTGAAGTAAGACAGAGAAAGAAAGAAAAATGCCATAAGATATCACTCATAAGTAGAATCTTAAAAAAAAAAGTCACAAATGAACTTCTTTACAAAACAGAAACAAACTCAGACATAGGAAACAAACTTATGTTTACTAGGGGAAAGGGGGTGGGAAGGGATAAATTGGGAGTTCAAGATTTGCAGATACTAACTACTATATATAAAATAGATAGACAAGATTCTTCCTGTCTTGTATAGCACAGCAAACTATAGCCAATATCTTGTAGTAACTTATAATGAAAAAGAATATGAAAACAAATATATGTATGTATATGTATGATTGAAACATTATGGTGTACATGAGAAATTGATACAGCATTGTAAACTGATTATACTTCAGTAAAAAATTAAATTAAAAAGTAAAAGTCAGTTTATGTATTGATTAGTAATTAGCTATTAGATTGGTTTTGCATGGCCTCCTACCTCACCATCTTGGCTGCCAGCAAGACCACGGTGAGGGTGTGTGCCTGTGTGCATGTAAAAATCCCCTCCAAAAAAGAAGGAAGGCTCATAGCGAAAAAAAATGTGACAATGAATATACACATGTTCATGTAGAACTGAAAAATTGTGCTCTACACAATTTGACACATTATAAAATGACTATAACTCAATAAAAAATGTTAAAAAAATAAAAATGAATAAATAAAAGAGATAAAAAGAAGGAAGGGAAACAGCGAGTTACTTGGAACTAATGCTCTCATATCCTTCAAGTCTTTGTCACTTTCTCAGTGAGGCCCACCCTGACCACAATCTTTAATTGATACTGGAGCCTACCTCTTCCTGCCCCCTTCAGTAGTCCTGGTCTCCCTTTGTCTTTGCTTTTATAGTCACATGTTTTACCTTCCAACATATTGGATAATTTATAAATTATGTTATATATTTTAAATATTATATTACACACCACGTACTTTATATAACACATGAGGTTCTATAATATATTCTGTATTAATACATTTATTTATGAACTACAAGTTGGATACTTTATTTAATATGTTCACTGTCTGTCTTCTTCCACTAGAATACAACATCCTCATGGGCGTGGATCCTTGTCTGGTTCAATCACTGATGGATCCCGAGGGTCGCGGAAAATGCCTGGTATATAGCAGGTACTCGATACATTTTTGTTGAACACTTGAATGACAATTTTAGAGAGGAAGGACAGAACGATATATGTAAAGTGGCAAAGCAGGTTATTTTTCTTTTTTCTTTTTTTGCTAGCTCATATTTTCTTTCCCTTCCCTCCTGCTTTCTTTTCTCCTTTTCTTTCTTTTTCTGTACTCATTTCCATGATGAAATTGAGGCAGTTCTAGCACTTAGCTCTCAGAGCAAGTCTGATTCTGACGGTAGACCCTTAGGGTCCCAGTGACCTCAGTGTCATTGTTATAGCAAATGCAGAAATGGGATTCATGAGGCTGACCTGGGTGGGGTCTCTTAGTGAAAGCTGGACATTCTCTCCACACCTAAATCAGCAAAGGTAATCCTTTTAGGGGTCTAGGAAAAGTGTCCGAGTACCATTCCCAAGGATTTGGGTTTCAGAGCAGATGGCTATGGGGATGGAGATGGGAAAAGGAAAAACAGAACTTTTGTGTGAAACAATTGATTTAAAGGGAGGATATCCTTGTGTTCCTAAGAGCTCACCTCCGGAGTCATATTTCTTGGCTACAAGCCCAAAGAATGAAAAGCCAAGGACATTAGCGAGGTTTATCAGAGGAGAGCTGGAGCTGAGACCAATTGCTGGGGTGTGTTCGGGTGAGGGTGTGATGTGAGCTTGCTTAGGAGCTGGCCACAGATCCAGGCCAAACCTTTAGGAGCCATAGACACCAGCCCATCAGCTCAAGGTGAGGGCCAAGGGCACCTGGCTGCCAATCCCAGGAAGAAGCATCAGAAACACTTGTCTCAGGAAGGGTGGGAGTCAAAATTTGTGTCTCCCGTGGCCACTGCTCTGGGCTCCTGCAAAGCAGACTTACTGAGCACCTACTCAGAGTTAGCCACTGTTCTAGAAGCTGGGTACATGCTAGAGAACAAGACGGTTTCTCTGCTCTCTTGGGATTTAAATTCTGGTGGGGATACACTGCCGATGAAAACTGGGTTAAAACAATGAATAAAAGGATAATTTCAGACAGTAGTAAGCACAATGAAGGAAAAGAAAAGAGAGCGGGGTGGTGGGGAGTGTAGGTGGAGAGGAGACACTTTTGGTGGGGAGTGCTCGGGGAAGGCCTCTCTGAGGAGATAACATTTGAACCAGCACTTGAGTTATAAGAGGAACCAGCTGAGCAGAGAAGGGGACGAGCTTCCCCAGGCAGAACTCTGTCTTCTGGGCAGGGCTGAAAGGCCCGCGTGAGAGATGAGGTGGGAGAGGCTGGCCAGAGTCGGGCTGCCGGGGGTCTTGAAGGCTGTGGGAGGAGTTTGGGTTTTATTCTCAAGTGCTGGGAAGCTACAGGAGGTTTCTCAGTGGGGAGAGTGATGAGCTCTGGACTTGATCCGAGGGTGTCTGAGACGGCAGCAGCAGCGTAGAAGCACCGAGAACCCCAGCCCTTCTCTCTCAGAGGGCCCTCAGAGGCTGTGTAGCCCCGTGCTCTCCACACTGGCTATGTCTCAGAATCATTTGGGGAAAACGTTAAAAGAATATGGATTCTCAGGCTCCCCCCAGAGGAAAAATCTGGTTCAGTGGGATGGAGGTGAGGCTCAGTCTTAAGGAAATTTCCCCGAATGATTCTGCTTATTGGCCAGGGTTGGGAACAACCAGCTCGGTCAAGGCCCCCCTTCAGGAGGAGTATACTGAGGTTCAGGGAGGAGAAATGCCTTGCCTGAGGTCACACAGTGAGTTAATTGCTGACCGGTTTCCTGACCCCGGAGCAGTGCACGGCCAGGGGTCTCTGGCAGCAAGTCACAGAAGTGACCATTGGCTAACCTAAGCAAAGGGGAATTTATTGGAAGGCCATGGGGAAGCTCTTGGATGGAAGGGAAGACTGAAGAAACATGCTTGGAAAGGTGGGTTCAGGAAGCTCCAGAAGTTTTCAGCATTGAGAACATCTCCACAACCACCTCCAGGTGCCACTGAAAGGATGCATGAGCACATAAGTTCTCCTCCTTCTTTCCTGCCATCGAAGTCCTGGGAGAGTGAGTCCGACTGGCTGAGTTCTGGTTGTGGGCTCACCCCACTGACTAGGGGAGGGCACACCTTGATTGACAGTCCCAGCCAGACTTCGGAGAGTTCCTCCAAAAGGATATCAGAAGTTTGTTACCAAAAGAGCAGCCAAAAATATCCATTATGCGTGGCACCTCAGAGGGTTATAAAGATCAGTCATCATTGTCATCATTGCTGTGATGGTAGCAATACTGATTCATTTAATATTTACAATGTGCCAGGTACTATTCAAAGTATGCTACATATATTAAGTAATTTAACTTGTACTTTAAGGCTATGGTGCAGGTACTGAGGTAGGCACTGAGCTAGGAAACTGAAGCACAGAGTAGGTTTGTTAGCAACTAATGTCTAGATTCTGTTTTTATAGATTCCAAAGCTCATTCATACCTATTGTCTAATTTGCTCCCCATAGCAAGCTGTAAGGACAGACATTTTTTCAGGTGGAGAAAGCAAGTGCACATGGTCTAGAGTCACACAGCTAGTAAGTGGCAGAGTCTTTGGACTCATCTAGTCACTCATTCATTCACTCATTCATAGGAATAAAGGTAGGGAGATAGAAGGCTGATGCAGTGGTTCAGGCAAAAAATCATGGTTGCCTGGATTAGGATGATGGCACTGGAGATGGAAGGAAGTGAATGGAGAAGAGAAAGAAGTGGAATTGACAGGACTTGCTAATTGGATGAGCGTGGGGGTGGTTTAAGATGAGGGCAAGGTTTGGACTTGGATAACTAGGTGAAGAGTGGTGCCATGTACTGTGGGTAAAGACTAGCTGAGGGGCATTCTGGTTGGGAGAGGGGATGACACGCTCTGTTTAGGGCAAGTGGTGTTGGAAGTTCCAGTGGGACAGGGATGTGGAGAAATACAGGGGTTTGCAAAACTTTTGCCTCCAGATCCGATGCCCTACCCACAGTGCCTTGCTAATTTAGAATCTCAATCTGTAAGAACACTCAGAAACCCAGTTTGTCAGATCAAACTTTAGAGATTCTCCCTCTCATTTCAGATGAGGAAACAGAGGCCAGAGCAAAGTTGCTGAGCTAAAACCAGATCCTGAGCTTCCCAGAAGGCCCCTTCCCTACCACCCACAGTACCCTGGTTCAGAGGGTGCACACTGGAAACCTGAAGCTCAATCTAGTCTCCAGAAGGGCTCTGTTTGGCCTACAACTAATTCAAATTAGTTGCCATCATTAAAAAGAAATTAGGACATTTCAAGTACAAATCCATCCACAGAATATCTGGTAACTTCAGGCTCACATGCCTACATGACAGTGACCAATGGATCTGGGTAGCAATTGCTCCCTTAAGGCAGGGCATGTCCAGTTTTCCACAGTCTCCACTCTTCCCCCCATAACTGAGGGCGTGTGTTATTTGCCATTTATCAAGATGCTTGCTCTGTTGTTTTTCTTAAAGGGGAAAGTCATGTATTTCCTGTGACCTCTCTAAAATATCTTTTATCTGACCCCAGCTTGCTTCATTTCCTGGTCTCTGTAAGCATTTGAGTTTTGACCCCATCACTTACCCTCTGTGAACCACACAGTCCTCATTTGTGAAGTGAGGCGTTTGAATACAATGATTCCAAGGTCCTTTCTAGCTCTGGTTTCCAAGGCTCTCTAAGTCTGCACTTTGGAAGTGAGTTGTGCTATTGACAATGCTTAATTGTTCTGCAGATGGTTTTTGAGGGATTGCTCACCCTTGACACTTTTGTCCTTGAATGATGATTTATCTAAGCCCTTGGAAGAAAAATGCCTTTCATTTTGGGAGTTTATCCTTCATCTTTTGATTTTGGAAAAAAGATGAGTACTTCAAACAATGCAGCGTAGCTGCAGTTGCTAGGAAGGGAGTGTAGTTACAGAGGCTGTGTGGAGACAAGGCCATCAGAAAACTCTTGTCTCCCTTCCTGCCTTCCCTTTTCTTCCCTCCCTCCCTCCTTCATTCTCTATCTGTCTCTCTTTCTTTTGAGCAAAGATGTCATAATCAATAACCCCTTCTACAAAGACCAATCGTAGTCACCAGTAGAATTTAGGTTGCCCTGAATACAAAGGTTAATTTCTTAAGACCACTCCCACCAGCCAAACTATTAAATGCTCAGTGAAGTGACCTCCTGGGTTTTAATTCTGGTTCTACCACTCTATTGTCATTTGACCTTGGGCAAGTCATTTATTTTTCTCTGGGCCTTAGTTTCCCCATCTGTAAAACAGAAGGTTGAAGGAAATGCTTGGATTCTCTTGCAGTTCCTTCCAGCCCAAATATTTTAGAAGGAGACTGATGAGATTTAGAGAATAAGGTAGCATCAGCAGGTAAGGTCTCTGCGACTTTCTTTCCAGGTCAGCAAGGCTCTGGGACCCCTTCACCTTAAAGCCATGATATTCAACTATAGATCTTCGGCTTTCTCTCCTCTGGCTAATTTAGTCAATGGTAAAATAAGGATTTCTGTCTATCCTTCTCAGTAGATGTGATGTGTCCTGGGTATCTGCCTTGCTAAGAAATCTTACTTTTGGCATCATTCCTTTATTGTAGAAAGGGCCAGTACCAGGACCTAAATGTCTCTGATTAGGTATTTTTCAAGTCCAGTATAGCCCTCAGACTCTGCAGGTCTCCAGCCGCAGGGATGATTGTGACGATTTAAGTGACAAGTGCGCCCCCTGGTGACCTATGTAAAAATCGCAGAGAGGCTAGCCATTCAACAAATACAGAACTTAAATACTGCGTCTGCCTAACCTTCAAGTCAGGATTAGAAAAATGGACACGTATGTCCTGTAAAGTAATATACAGTCTACAAATGGGACAGTTATGTCTGTGAAGCTTGTATTTCCACTCTCAGAGCCAGCTTTTGGCCACTTGGCATGTCCACCTTCCTGCCCTTCAGTTCTTGACTTTGCATATTGGGGCGAGTGTATATTGAGTTCAATACCGCCATCCTCCAGTCACACATGTCTCTCAGTGCAGCAGTGGAATTGCTTA